AAGATATACAGTCTTCTCCTTGACAGTTTGAGAGAAACACACATATAATAATTATAATCAAATTGATAGAGCAATGATATCATAAAAAATTTGGAGACCTGATTCTACTCAAGAAGGAAAGAGGTCAGAAAATACCTGACAAAGCAGGTGATTTGGGGACTGGAGAGATGGCTCTGTGGTTAAGAGCACTGACTGTTCTTGCAAAGAATCTGGTTTCGGTTCCCAGCACCCACATGATGGAGTTCAACCATCCATAATGCCAGTTCCAGGGAATCCAGTGTCCTCTTCTGGCCTCTGCATGCATTGCACAACATGGCTGCATTTATATACATGCAGGCAAAATGTTCATACACATAAAATTATTTTTTAAAAATCATATGATTTTAAAATAGATCTTAAAAGTCTATAAGATTTTGCTATATAGCAGTAGTTGTTTGTAGAATTATTGGAATGAAGGCTTTTTTAATTTCTTCTTTCTGTTTTTAATATATTGTTCTAAATTATCTAAAATATCTTCCCATTATTTTATAATAAAAATGTAAACTTTGGGGGAAAAGATTTTACTATGTAGGAAAAAGAAATAAAGTCAGAACAAGCAGCTTCTGAGAGAATAAAGATGGTCACTCATGGACATTAGTCTATGGACATGGAATAATAGAGATACCAAGGAGATGATGAAGGTTTAAGGCTCCCTTTAAAGCCACTATTAACCTATAGGTTCAACCAGTGCATAAAAGAGAAAGAAGAGCATCCTTAAAGTTTACAGCACACCATCGATGCTCCATATCACTGCTAAGAAAGCTGCCTGCTCTGTTTCAACTGATCTGTGAGAAAAGATGTGTGGATACAGTAGAAACATCCTGCCAGGCTGTGTCATTCCAATATAAACCAGGACCAATTTTGTGATATCCTGTAAAGCCTTCACAATCATGTGGACTGTGAATTGTCTGGAGATTCTGACAAATGAAGCAGTAACAAGACACAGACTTTCATCTCCCATCACCAAGGAATAAAAACAGACACGAAAAGAAATAGCCATGCTGTGATCATGCACATGAGGGACAGAAGTTGAAGAAGAAATATACATGGGAGAGGCCACACCACCCTCCACTTCACTTTTCAAGTTAGAACAATATGGATTTTCTAACATTCTATGCTTTTTCTAGATAAGGATAAAAATGATCGTCTTTATTTATGAGGTCTTTTAATTAGCATACAAAGTCATTGGTTTCATTGTGGCATTTTCATAAATACTTTGTTTTTATCCTCCTCCCCCACTACCAACCCCTGTCTTCCACCCTCCTGTCCCGTCTGAATGGTCCCCTTCCTCCTCACCAGCAGACTCCCACACAAACTCTCATGTCACATCTGTTCTGTTAACCCTTTTTCTCACCATGCCCAGCCCTTAAGACCTCTTTTCCCTTCTCTTAATCACCTTTTCAGTTTTATAATCCCACCCACTTTGACATATACACATTTGTAAAAATTAAAGTCTAAGATCCACATATAAGGGAAAACCTGCAGTATTTGGGTTGCTTTAATAATTTCCAGGTCTATTCATTTTCCTACAATGGTCATAGTTTCGTTTTGTTTTGTTGCAGAATAAGCTCCCACTGTACATAACCACATTTTCTTTATTTGTAAATTTTTATTGGTTTTTTATTAATTTATATGAAAACATCTTAATCAATCTTAATCATTTTTGTACCCCTTTCCCTACTGGCACCTTTCCATAGACCACCCCCACTAGAATTCACGCATTCTGTCATTTGTGTTAAAGCCTATTGTGTCATTTTTCCCAGCCGTCCCTTAGAGAAAATTCACCCATTGGGGTCTGGTCAGCCTATGTAGAGTCCCTTCAGTGAAGAACAACTCTTCCTCACCCAGCAATAATCAGCTTCCAATAATTCTTCAACTAAGATTGAAGCCTGATGCCCATTTCCACAGTTCTGTGCTGGGGTTTTGTCTGCTCAAGTTTGCATAGGTCTTGTGCATGCTGACACCATTGCTGTAGGTTCATATGAATAAGAGCCCAAGGGCCAGTAGGACTCTATTTCCATATGGTCATGCACCTCTTCCCTGGCTCTTATAATCTTTCTGCCCCCTCTTCCACAATGGTCCCTGAGATCTAGGTGGGTAGAGTTTAATATAGGACCCGCACTGTCCTAGGACCCACACTCTGCAGACTTATTCTCCACACCTTGGCCATTTGTGACATTTTGTGTTCCTGGCCCTCTGTTGCATGAGGGAGTTTCATTGATGAGAAGTAAGAGATGTATTAGCATCCTCTTTACCCCTTGTTCTATGTTCTGAGAGCCTTAGGTGTAGAGGTTGCATTGTAGATATGCCACTTGGGCTTGGGCAGTTCACAGACAATGTCTGTGTGTGACCAGATATGGAACACTGTAATAGTCCCTGTCTATTGAAAAAGAAGCTTCTTTGATGAATGAGTGATGATGGGGATATTTTTCTGTAAATATAAGGATCCATATTTTGCATGTAGTAAGAAATTACATTTGTCTAGGGATGTGACACCTTGGGGTTTTCTCTAAGATCTATGACCACACATGAGTTTCCTCCCATGGAATGGACCTTAAGTCCAATTAGGTATCTGTTGATTACCCCCAAGATAAAAGTGTCACTACTGTACCAATTTTGTTTGCTATGCTGGTCATTGATGTGGTTATTAGGCCTTGAAGCTGGGGTTGGACCATCAATCCATGTTGTCCCTTAAGCAGCTTACATAATGCTTTCCAAAGCTATGAGAGCTAGCCTTCAGGGGAAGTAACTTCCAGGTCAGTTTCAGCTCCATTGCTCCAAATCCTGCTTTCGAAGTATGTCCTGTCTTCAGCAACAGGGTCTTACCTTCAAGTTCTGGGAGGTAATCAAGTGCTGTGGCAATAGCCTGTGTAATTTTGGGAGTTTCTTGGACTACCCTGGTCAACAACTCAAAGGAAGGTTTCTCCTGACTGGCACTGTTTCTTGTTATGTAGCCTTCAGCTATATACATAGACTAATGTAGAGATATTGCATGTGTGATTTATCATTGGGCTTTTTGGGCTAATATGATTCCCTGTGTTTCATACACTACTTAGGCCTTATTTATCTCTCCTGTCTCTCTTTCCCTGTCTACCCTTCCCACCACACCCTCCCCATTTAAAATATCTCCATTTATCCCTTGATAATACCAGTCTCATATGGTCCTACCTTTCTTGAGCTCCTTCTTCCCTTTTATCCCCATAGTTCCTTGTATAGCCTTCCTTCCCCCCCCCCGACTTAAATATCCCCATTTTACCCATTTCTCCCTTAGTAACACCTACATCCTATTGTTTTTGCTAGGGTTCCTTTTTTTCCCTTTAACTCCCTGGTTCCTTTCCATTTTCCTGGTTCCTAGAGTTACATCAGGATACATACTCACATATAAGAATTTGGTGCTGTATTTACATATGAGGGAGAACATACATAGTTTGTTTTTCTGAGTCTGTGTTACTTCATTTAGTATAACAGTTTCTAGCTCTGTCCATTTACCTGCAAGTTTCATTATTTCATCTTTCTTTACCACAGAGTACAGCTCCATTGTGTAAATGTAGCACATTTTCATTATCAACTTCATAGCCACATTTTCTTCATTCATTCATCTACTGATGGACATCGAGGCTGGCTCCATCTCCTTGCCAACATGAATGGTACAGGAATGAATGTGGACTACCAAGCATCTCTATGCTATGCTTTCTTAGAGTCCTTTAGTTGTACACACAGGAGTGCTAGAACTGTGTCATATTTTAGGGTCTATTTTTTGGTTTTTAAGAAATATTCATACTGAATTTCATAGTGCAATGATCACCTTTTTTGCAAAAATGTTTAATATTTCCCTTTTCATTGGTAGACTCTATGTCACTTTAATACCATTTTGTCTATGAATATTGGACATTATAGGAGGACCTAAAGTAATCTATTTTATGTCAAAATGTCCTAAGAACTGAAATTTCTCAAAAAAAAATTCTGGTGATCATAGTCATTTGGTCTATAGTACAAGCTCCAAGAAACAATCAAAGAAATAGAAAGATCACTGCTTTTTTTTTTTTTTTTGAGATAGCATCACCCTGTAGCTCCAACTGACTTAGAACTCACTATGTAGATCAGGCTGGCCTTGATCTCACAGAAATCTGCCTGCCTCTGCCTCCTGAGTGCTGAGATTAAAGGTGTGAGCCACCATACACGGCCATTGGGTATAATTTTAATTGACATGTGTTTCCATATTTAAAAAGATATTCAGATTGGTAAAGTCATCCTCCAAAGTCCCAATTAATTCTGCTGGATGGTTTCCTTCTAGGTTATTATCCTGAGGTAGTTTAAATAAACAAGGCAAAGGGAAGGACGGAAGAGGGAAAAGAAGTAATTTTAACCCAAAAGGTATTTACAAAAATGTTCTTTCTTGTACTGGGTGCAATGAAGTAAACAAAAAAAATCTAGTACTATTTTAATAATGGGTCAGGATAATTATTAGTGACAACAGTTCATTCAATTTTTCCAAATAGGTGGTATAGAGGATGTAAAACTTTTCTGACACATGAAAAGCTAAGTGATTGTGGTTATAGATATGCCAATTACCCTGATTAGCTCACTACACATTTCATGCATGTATTGAAATATCACAGTATGCCCCCAATCATGTAAATTCCTGTATCAATTTAAGTATGCATTCTTAATGGGCTTTACATTTTCATTGACTTGAATCTTCAAATTACTCAACGAATGGTTGAAGTAGATATCGGAGAGACAAAGTCCATGAGATTCCGGAGGAGCTGCTCACCACTGTTCTCAAACGTAACACTGGGCTCTAACAAACCACGAGCTTGAGGCTACCCAGGGAGAGTCACGGAAGCGGTAACATTGCATCCTCATATTTGCTGCTGTCATTCTTTAACATCCCAGGAAGCAAACCCACTTAGACAACTGGCTACATTTTCTTGATCCTATTCTCAGCCCTTGGCTCTTCTTCACTCCACTCCTAAGCTCTTTTTGCCCCACAATTTCCTCATGGCATTTTTCACCTCTGCATTTCTGAGTGTATAGATGATGGGGTTCAGCATGGGGGTGATGACCGTGTAGAACACAGCTACGAGTTTATCTTCAGTGAAGGTGGAGGAGGGCCGCATATAGAGGAAGATGGCAGGTCCAAAGAACAAGAGGACCACCGTGATGTGGGAGGCGCAGGTAGAGAGGGCTTTACGCCTCCCCTCTGCAGAGTGGTTCCTCAGGTTGAACAGAATGATGATGTAGGAGGCCACCAGGACAAGGAAGGAACACAGAGCAATTAGGCCACTATTAGCCATTACAATGACACCCTCCACAAAGGTGTCAGTGCAAGCAAGCTTGAATAAAGGCTGGAGGTCGCAGAAGTAGTGGTCAATCACATTGGGACCACAGAAAGGCAACTGGATGGAGATTAGAACCTGAATTGTGGAGTGTAAAAAGCCCCCCAGCCAGGAAAAAGCCACCATCACATGACACACTGAACGGCTCATGATGTTCATATAATGAAGAGGCTTGCAGATGGCCACGTAGCGGTCATAGGCCATTACCACGAGCAAAATGATCTCAGCAACCCCAAAGAAGTGGAAGAAAAATATTTGAGCCAGACAGCCCTTAAGAGAGATTGTTTTAATCTTGGCAAGTAAGTCAGTGATGAATTTGGGAACTACGGTCGAGGAATAACAGATCTCTACCAAAGACAGGGAGCTGAGGAAGATGAACATAGGGGAGCGCAGACTCGGGCTGATGCTGACTGTCACAACAATGAGGCCATTGCCCACCACCGTGGCCAGGTACACAGGAAGAAACAGCACAAAGCACACCCTCTGCACCTCTGGATCCTGGATAAGGCCAGTGATAATCAACTCGGTCACGTTATTTGCACTGGCCATGGACTCAGTTCAGGTGTGCTGGGCATCAGGTAGTGAGAGTCCTGAAATAAATCATAACAGCGCCAGTTGGCCTCACTTACACAGCCTCCATTATTATTCATTTAACCAATGTGCTAATTTAGAATTCAGCATGGCATTCTAATATTTTGTAATATTTTAATTTAGTTAATTGTACCACTAGAAAATGGAAGTTAAGAGAAATGTTTGTTTGCCCAAATTACACAGACAGAGGTTAATTCTAGATCCAGAACCAGTCTTTCAGAATTTCAGCACATGGATCCTTCTAATTCACTACAAGGCATTCTGAATTTTGAAAGTCATTCAAGAGCCTGTATCTGTATTATCATGAATGTGATTGCGGGGGAGTTGTTTTGGGGTTTTGTGTGTGTGTGTGTGTGTGTGTGTGATAGGATCCCACTATGCAACACTGGCTGGCCTGGAGCTCCCTACATAGACCATTCATGAACTCTCAGAGATCTTCATGCCTCTGCCTCCCCAGTGCTGGGAATAAAGGAGTGCACCACCACACCCTTACTGCATTTTGATCACTCTTTAGGTAATCCCTTTAACATACTTTTGCTCCTGTATTATCTGTTTCTTTCTTCTGTGTCTCAAGGAATATCCACTCTCTACCACGTCAATATGTTAATACATGTAAAAAGAATTTTCTCTCTAATAAACAAATAAATGCCCTTAAAATATAAGAAACACTTCTTTTAACCATCAATCAAGAGTTAGTGCTTCAAAAATTTATTAGCATAAGAGAGTTAGCAAGGGCTATGGTGAAAACTCAAGTTAGTTTCATATTCTGTTGTAAATAAGAAGATCAGTAAACCACTCCAGAGATCAAATTTATATCACCTGTATATACGTCAACTTCCAACATTATATTCCGAGGAAAGACTATCCCTGTATACAAGTACTGGAAGCAGTGGTATCTTAGGGCCAGTTCAGACCTACCTTGAGTCCCTCTTTCCCCCAATCCTACATTCAGTGATGTCATCTTGAGAGCTTAAAATCAGTCAAGATCAGGATTTGCACATTGGAAATCATCAAACACAGCAAACCAGATCTTTTTTTAAGACCAGCCATTTGCAAACACACCACTTGGTAAAGGCTGGTAGGAAAGCATTTTCTCCCCACTCCTGAAGGATTTACAGTAACCTGACATTCCCAGCCATACCCTGCTAGAGGCAGGGGAGTAAATTAGGAAGGAGAGATCAAGCATAAACAGATGGAGCCCTCTCCTCCAACTCTTAAATGAAATGTTTCACTCGGCATGGTGGCACACACCTTTAATCCCAGGACTTGGGAGGCAGAGGCAGGCGGATCTCTGAAAGTTCGAGGCCAGCCTGGTCTACATAACGAGTTCCAGGCCAGCTGGGACTTCAGGGAGACCCTGTCTTAAAAACACCAAAAAAAAAAAAAGCTTCAGATATACTTTTTCCTCTGCCTCATGGGCTTCTGTCTCTGTGGAGCAGAAGCAGGGTACTCTGTTGGGTTATGTACACTGGATGATGCCATGATTGTATGTATATGTTTGCCTAATTTTTGAGTGAATTTCACAAAAGCTGCTTGCAATAGATATAAGCTACCATCTCCCTTTTCTTTATCGCAACAAATGAATGCTTTCTGACCATTCAAGGACCTTAGCTCTGAATTACTTCAGCATTTATGTGAAGAAGTGACATTAAACTTCCAACAAACAGAGCTAATGAACTCATACTGGCTTACAAAAGGAAAAATGTAATAATACCAATATACATTAAGCAATGATCGTATTTGCCCAAATAGGAGACATACTCATACTTTCTTGAGAAAGTACCTGCTATGTAACAAAAGGGGCCAAGTATAAAGAAATGAACCAGTAACACAAAAAGATACTGCCTATCCAAAAGTTAATAG